TAGCACTTCCAAGTACTATGCATCTTGAATTTATGAAATTTTACTTTTGATATCTGTTAAAATTGTCCATCATGTCTACAAAGGAAATTAATGTCTGATCTGAATTGTGTTTCTATTCCAGTCAACAAAACCTTACCGATTTGTTCTCATTTAATACATAGTAAGAAAGCATTCAGATTGATTCTTAAATGTGCCTTGTGAAGTAAGCAGCACTAGTTTTTTATTTATCTTTCATATCAAGAAGTATTTTTAGGTAAACAAGTTTTCTATGAAAAGTCTAGTTAATAGGAGTAAAAGAGATGAGGGCTAGATGACTGAAAAGCATATACTATCTGAACCAAATGATCTGTCTTACATACCCTTGTAGCTTAAGAAATCTGTTCTTAAATAAGCACTTGATTTTTATTATAAAATTCCATGTCCAATTGCCCTTTGATGTCTGCATGTCTGCAGGGCAATCTGGAACTTTGTACAGTTCATATTTGAACTTTGGTGTCAAATGGTGATAAAGTCTACCATTACTGCTAGCTCCTGTTGTGTGAATGAATAACAGTTTCATTGTTTAAACAGATCCTTCCTGAAGCCTCTTTACACCAGTAACCGTACTTTTTTCTTAGATTGCTTTAGCTATTGGTAAAATAAACTCTTTATCTTTTGAAAAATCTGTCCTAAGGATTCTTTAGAACGAGGAGGAATTCTTCCACATAATATTCAGGACCAGAGTCAAGATCTCAACCTCTGTACATCCTGCCATCCTGACAAGTTTTTCTCCCATGTCCGAGATGGCCTTAACTTTGGTACACAGATTGGCTTCATATCAATTAGAGAATGAGGTACAGTAGGGTCTCCCCTCTCATCTCTCTTCTCTCCACTCTCTTTCTCTGTCCCTCCCTCTACCTTTTTTCCTTTTTCCTTTATTCTCTTTGAGCTTTTCTCTCCCTTCCATTTTATTATTTTACGTTGTCTTATTTATTTTGTTTTACTTTTTAGTTGTTTGAGACAGGTCTCACTATGTTGCCTAGGTAGGCCTAGAACTTTCTATATGACTCAGGTTAGCCTTGAACTAGAGATCCTTGTGCTTCAGCCTCTGAGTGCTGGAATTACAAGTGTGCACCACCATGTCTGGCCCTCCCCTGATTTAAAAAATAAGCATTACATTTAATTTTACTTCTTTATTCTTACGTGAAGAATTAAGTTTCTATATTTTTAGTAACACAGTAGTGGTAGAAAAGTTCATTTTCAGTAATTTATTCTGTGATGAAGAATAGCCATTCCTCTTCTTGGTTAATGAAGAATAATCAAGTAGCTTATGTTAAAAGTATAAAAATAAAATAGTCTTTTAAAAATCCTATACAGTATATCTTTTATCTCTACTCTGTACTTCATACTTATACATTTCTTATTATAACATCTTTATACCATTCATTTTTTAAGTTTGGAGAAAAAAAATCTTTGTATAAAAATTCTAAATTCTAAAATAATAAATCCACAAATATACCAATTGGCCTGGTTTTCAACTAGATTTTCAACTGCTGTCTGTAGTAGAGTTGGCCAATTTTTTTTAAAAGGCCAAGATAGTAAATCTTTTATGTTTTGTGGGACATACAATATTGTCTCAATTACTCTGCCACTGTAGAGCAAAAGCAGACACGACAACACAGAAACAAAAGTATGTCTGTGTTCCACTTAATCTTTATTCACATAAAGAGGAAATGGTTTTTTAGACCTATACAAAAATATACATGACTGTGATTTAGCACTGCCTTTAGCTTATTTCAATTTCCCTAAGGTTCTTTTTAACTCAATTAATACTACTTTAGTCTGTACAATATCTTCAGCTCTTTAATTACACAAACAAGTTCAATAGACTTCATGATTCTTACCTTGATATCTAATAGCACTAGTTAGGGTCTCATATTTTATTTCTATACATTTTACAGGTACTTGATTGGATTTTTGAATAACTGCTTCCTGCCTCCTTCCAAATTGACAGCAAGAGAGAAATTTAGCTGATTGCTTTATGTAAAAACCAAGAAGATTACAGTGGAGAATCCATCTTTAGGGTATATTTTCACTACTATCCAAAGCCAAATGATCTTCATTTGATTCTAATGATAATGGAAAAAAGAATCAGTGTGATGTTTTACAAAGGAAGATTATTCCTAGAATTTGTTCTCCTTATTTATTCCATAAATCAAGAATAAGTCTGTTCAGTTCAGTGTTTGTTAGATGCTGTCTGTCAGGCATTATCTTTTAGAATAGGTGAATAAAAATGAATGATTTTTTTCTATTTCAGTCTAATGCATTGGAGGAGATAAACACTTTCTACAACTAAAATTTAATTTGAATAGCAGTAGAAAATACTGAAGGGGGAAGGGTTAATTTTACCCAGAAGCAGAGCAGAGAAGGTATTACAGAGAAAATGACATGTTACATGTGCCCAAAAGCTATGTAGGGTTTTGACAAATGAAGAAAAATAACAGAGAGAGGAATGCTGTGAACCAGAACATGAAACTGAAAGTTCATAGCCTCTCCTAGAGAGAAAACAGCGTGGGCAGGAGGTGAGACTGGAGAAACTAGCTGGAAATAGACTAGCAGGAATCTCACTGCCATGTCAGGTAGGTTGGAGTTTATTTTTCTTGGCAGTGAGTTGGCATCAATAGTAAGGGTTTTTTGTTTGTTTGTATTCAGATTATGAGAGACCAAAGTTTAGGAAAGGGGCAGTCAAAATATTTCAAAGAAAAATGAAGTCTTAGTGAAAGGTGTAGAAATTAAGATAGAGAAGACAGTAGATGGATTAGAGAAACATGTCAGAGGTGAGATCAATAGCTCCCCTTAATAGATAATGAAAGTTAGAGGTGAGGAAGGGTAGACAAGTCATTGATGACTAAGATTTTCTATTCATATTTTCCTACGTATATATACAATATATGTATAATATATTTGGTGCTTACAAAGGACTTGCATATATGACCTCATTGTATCTTAATAGTTACTGTGAAATACATAGACCAGGTGTAATCACTTTGTACAAATGAGAAACTAAACCTCATTGAGTTAGAGTTCAAAATCATAATTTGTAAGGATGAGGTAAGATTGGAACATGTATTTGTGACTCCAGATCTGTCAGATTTTGCAGATAATCAAAGCTTCCTATATTTTATTTTCAGCTTTCTTTTAATCACTTATGTATAAATTCAGCCAAAATTTTGTTCAAATATTTGGACACATTGTAGCCCTCAATATGTTAATATCCAGTGGAAAGTGACAGTCAGTAAACAAGCAGCTTCAATACTGTGATGTGTGTGGTGAGGTTACCACAGGTGACATCTTTACTTTAATTCTTTGATGCATGCCATAGCCCTGTGTGATATTTAAGTAAAATACCTTATTTCTCCTAATTCAGGAAAGGCATTAAATACAAAGGATAGATAGAAATTTCAAACACATGCAGAATATTCTTTTTTGATGATTAATAATAAAGACTAAGGAATAATTTCACATATTGAGAAAGACTGTTGATTTTCTAATTTTTCACTGTGTATTATTTTGTTTGAAGTTTGTAAATTTACACAGTATTAACAGCCACTTTCACTCTACCACAACATTCTAAAACCACATAATTTTTTTTTTATCTATGATTTTGGGTTATCTGCCATAGCATATAATGAAAAGTTGTCTTGCTAGTACTACTGAGTGTGTAGTATTGATTCAGTAACTCAGAAACAGAACTACTAGGTTATTAAATGAACATATCTTATTGCTTCCACAGGATCCCTGTCGATCTCAAGCATTTCTTGATAGGTTTCTTGAACTTTTACGGTACAGAACAATGATAATTTCTAGTAACTTAAGGTTTGTTTTTAATCTAAGCACTGTTACTAACTGCATGTTGACGATTGCCATTTATTAATAGGAGAAATTAAGGTAATAAATCATGGAACAACTTTCATGGAAGTACTTATTATATTAAAACTTAATAAAACATATAATATGATCTTGGTCCTTTAATTGTGATTTTAAATTGTGAAGAACCACATAGTGACTAAATGTTTAATAAAACAAATGAGAGAACGTACCACTAGGAGGCAGTATTCAACAAGTAGCTCTGAAGTTTCTTGGTATAGAATTGAACCTCTATTATTTACTTTTCCAAAAGAGGAAGGTATTTACAATTAGCAAATATATTGTTCTTACTTTAAGTATAACGTATTGTGTTTCAAGTAATATGAAAGCATTAAGAATCTATTTCTATAAAATTGCTAGTAAGGGCTTTTCTGTAAATAGATATTTAGGGGAAAACATGTCATATAGCAAAACATAAACAAGACCCATGGATTCAAAAGCCAGAATATAAGAGTACCATAACATGCTGGGTGCTAGTGGCTTAAACCTGTAATTCTGTCTACTTGGAAGGTTGAGAGCTGAAGGATCGCAGTTCGAGGCCAGCTGGGGCAAAAAGTTCACAAGACCCCATCTCCAAATAATCAGAGCAAAATGGACTGGAGGTGGGACTCAAGCAGTAGAGTACCTGCTTTGCAAGCGTGAAGCCCTGAGTTCACACGTGAAGCCCTGAGATCCACCAAAAAGAAGAACATGAGTTGTATCATTTTATATCTCAAAATGGAATTTGAAATTTGTTTTCAGTTGGTTGTCCTAAATTTCTACTTATAATGGGCTCATCTTAATTTTTATGTGACCTCTTAGAGAATACTTCTAATTTGTGGAAGTCCAGCACTTTAAAGAAACCATTGCTCACTTGTTCTTATGTTCATGTGTGTGTATGTGCATGAGTCTTTGTGGGAAGCTCAATGGCAAACAAGAAAGGTGTACGTGCTAAGTGTGATATCTAGCCTCTTTGCTCTATGTAATGTAGATTCATATATACAAACATATTCATATATACAAACACATTGTGTGCAATGGGATCATAGATTTCTTTTATGTTTTTTAAATAAATTGTGCAATTAAAAAATAGGAATTGTGACATGTATGCTTACTGGATGTTTTTGGGAACCCTGGTAGGGTATATGCATTTCCATTATAGGCAGTGTTTCTAAACTAGTGATTTCAAAGATGAGGCAGCTGCTGTAAGCGGTGCATTGTTCTTCATTGCTTAATGAAGGAAAAAGAAATCTTCCAGTACAGCTTTTTCCAGATTAACACAGTTTGAACTCAGAATGATTACATGTCAGTAAGGTTGAGACAGACTTTTCATACTCTCTGGTAGATGCATCTTCTTTGCAGAGAAGGAAATGCTTACATCACATTCCATGTCTTGTGCCAAATGCCTGAGGTGAACTATGTCCATTCTGTACATTTTTAAAATTGAAGTCTCAGTTACTGTACTTTATAGTCCAGTTAGTATATTTTACTAAATATTTAAAAGTTCCAGCAGACTCTATAACTCAAAATACCACCTTCCTTTCCCAGCTCCTCCTCCAAATGTGCATCCGCATTTCATAAGAAACATTTGTAGAAAATAGATTTGCTGTTGGTGACGATCGAATTTTAGTGTATCATTTTCTTAATGTAATTACACATTGCTTTAGTTTACATCTTATCATTCTTCCCTCTTCCTTTATTTTCCTTAATCACATACCTTAAGGTTGTATTTTCTTTATCCCTTCATCATCTGTGCTTTCATACTTGATATTTCGTATTCACAAAGTAACTTAATTTTTTAAGTTTTCTCCTTTTAAATATGTATCCAGATGTCACTATAGAGTTGCTTGTTGTACATATCCTATGGCCTCTTGAATATGATTCCTCCAAATTTAACCTATCATCTTCGCTCCAAAGCATGCCCCCACTCTGGTGTTCTATCAGAGGGTGAAATCATTATTCATGCATTTGCCCAAGCAGAAACCCTGGAGTGTTTCTGAATGCCTCTCTTTCACCCATGCCTTCCTATCCTATTGCCTTGGTATATCTGACGTCTGTTCCCATGTCCCTATCTCATCTGCCACAGACATTCAAGTCATCATCTTTCACCTGTGTCACTAGAGCAGCCTTCTAACTACTCATTTCTTACTGAATCCCTTATATTGCCATTGTTGCTTATTTTAAAATGCAAATCTGATAATAATAATTCCCATAAAATAATTTTATGGCTTTCCTACCATCTCCAAGATGAAGACTTCATCTTTATAAGTGTTGTCATGATCTTACGTCTGCTTACTTCTTTTTTCTGCCACTCCCTGCTCCACACCATATGCTCCAGTCATTCTGTACTTTTTGTTTTCCTAGACTGTGACACAGAGTAGGTCAGTACAAAGAGGTTTGGTTGCATTCAAAGACTGACTTTAAACTCAGATTTTGCTCAAGGTTACTTTTACTTAGGCTTTCTATTAAATTTCCAAAGCACTACTAAGATGAACACAGCATGACTATCTAAGCAATGAATACAAGACTATGTCTCCCTAATTCCTCATGGAAATATGCCCAAAGTTCAGTTGTCAGTGTAGTACATACACAGTCATGTATCAGGTCCCACACTGAAGCTTTTGTTCCCTAAGGCAGGGTGAGCCATGTTAATGCTCAGAGGCTTGCCTTCTACCATAGAAGCAATATTTTCTATATCTAAAAGCATGAATGATTTTTTTCTAGGACACTGGGTTCACAGAATTTCCCACCATGATCTTTCACAGTCATGTTTTCTCATCCTGTCTTTCTACCTATTGTTGACTCTGCAGGCATAATAATTCTCAATCTCTCTTCTCTTGAATAATTTTTAATCATCCTTTTAGTCTCAGATCTGAGGTCACTGCTTCAAGAACATTTTCTTTGGTGGTTTCCCTCATTATCCATTCTAAGCATTTAAAATATTAATTGCACAGAAATAGTTGGCTTTATTATGACATCTTCACACTTGCATGGCATGTACTTTGATCCATTCACATATATCCCCCTAACACCCTTGGTTGTTCTCCTCCTGCTATCTCCTCCCCTATCTTCCCCCTTCTACATTCATATTTTTTTTAACAAAATAAATCCCAGATTCTGCGTGTGAGAGAAAACATGCGATGTTTTGTCTTTCTGAATCTGACTTATTTTGCTTAACATGATCTCTAGTTATATCCATTTTCATGCATATTACATAATTTCATTCTTTATGACCGAATAAGTACTCCATTGAATATATACTCCATTATGCATATTTTTTTCTTCCATTTATCTGTTGATGGGCACCTAGACTGATTCTGTAACTTGGCTATTGTGAATAGTGCCTGCAGTTTACATAGGTATGCTAGTTTCTCTATTGTATGCTAACTTTTGATTCCTTCAAGTGTATACCCAGGAGTGATATAGTAGAAGGATCATATGGTACTTCTATTTTTAGGTTTTTGAGGAACCTCCATACTGATTTCAATAGTGACTGGACTAAGGATTCCCTTTTTCTTGCATCTTTGCCAGCATTTCTTTTCTTGATGCCATTCTCACTGGGGTGACACGGAATCTCAATGTCATTTTGATTTATTACTTCCTCAATGGCTAAAAATGTTGAACATTTATCATGTATTTATTGGCCATTTGTCCTTACTTTTGTTTTTGAGATGTGTTGGCTCAGTTCATTTGCCCATTTATGGATTGGATTATTCTTTTGGTGTTTAATTTTTGAGTTCTTTGTATATTCTGGATGTGAATCCCTTGTCAGATGAGTAGCTGGCAAAAGTTTTCCTCCTATTCTCTCTCTTCACTCTGGTAATTGTTTGCCGTGCAAAAGCTTTTTTAAATTTGATGCAATCCCATTTGTCAATTCTTGCTATTATTTCTTGAGTGATAAGAGTCCTATTCAGAAAATCATTGCCTATGCCTATATACTGAAGTGTTTGCCCTATGTTGTGTTTCAGAGTTTCAGGTCTTGAGGTCTTTGAAGCATTTTGAATTGAGTTTTGTACAAAGTGAGAGATAAGAATCTAGTTTTAGTCTTTTACATGTGGATATCCAGTTTTCCTAACACCATTTTTCTTCAACATATGTTTTGGGTACCTCTGTCAAGAATCAGATGGCTGTAGTAGTGTGGGCTTATTTCTGGGTCCTCTACTCTATGTCATTGGTTTACATGTCTATTTTCATGCTAGTACCATGCTGTTTTTGTTACCATGGCTCTGTAGTATAGTTTGAAGTCAGATATTGTGATATCTCCAGCATTTGAGCATCATTTTTAATAGTCCCTCATGAAATGATTTTTAAATGCCTCCTTATCTGTTTACTATTAAATATAAGCTTCATCAGAATAAGGACCATGGCTTAGTCATCTTCATATTTTTGGTATCTACCAAAGATGTAGTCATATTGCAATTATCTAATTTCTATGGAAGGAAAAAGGGAAGGAGGGAGGTGAGAGAATCCTTTAATAGAAAGTCTGGAAAGATAAAATAATAAGCCATATTTTGGAATATGTGTATTTTGTCAAATTTCACCATGTACTTTTATGTCTTGCTTTTTAGTTCATTTTATTTAAATAATAGTGACATACTGAAATCCCTCTAAGGAAAGAATGCTTATAATGAATATCTGTTGTAAGGCATTCATTCAGCCATGTTTCTTTACACACATCATTAGACTTTCCTATTTTCAACTAGTGTAACAATATAAACTTTAAATACATGCCTTCTGTAGGAATCATATATGTTAGTATTTATTTTACAAAACATTATTCCTACCTCCTATAATATTTTTAGTATTTATCTTACACCACACTCTGTCCTTAGAACTTACTTATTTACATGCTTTTAATGAAATTAATAGCAGTTATTTAGTCAAATATCTTTGACAGTAGCCAGAGAGATTGAACAGGTAGATCTTTTTGATGAAAATTCCATTTTTTCAATAATTTCTGTAGATATTTGACAGTTAAGTAGTAGAAGAGATTTTTTTGGTAGAGTCTTATTTCTAGAGCTGTTCTTGACCTTGACTGCACAATAGAATTATCTGGTAAGCT